TGTGTGTGTGTGTGTGTGTCTCTGTGTGTGTGTGTGTGTGCGCGCGCGCGTGATGGGGGTGGGAAAGACTGAGGAAAATCATAGAACAGGGCGGGGGGGTTAATCCTGATAATCTTTAGGGGCAGATTGCCTTGACAGAATTGTCTGTGGCCCGGAGTGGTTGGGTGCAGTGTCATATAGGATGTCCATTATGTCCCAGAGGACAGTACGCAGTGGAGCACACCACGTGCAGTATGTGAGCGTGGCTTACACTATGCTGCCAGGCTGAGTGACATCAGAGCTGCCCGTGCAGGGACAGCTCCTGCCCAAGGAGGAGGCCACGCTTGCTGCTTGCTGTTCCTCACGCCCAGCTTGCTCACCTGGTTTCTGTCCAGCGTCTGGGGAGCCTCGCGGTGGCTGAGTGAGGATGTCACTGGGGAACCACAATCCAGACCTCACGTATCTGACAAATAAGTGAATGTTCTCTTATTTTTTGGTAAATTTCGTCCACGCCTATTCCTTTTCCTCTCCGTCTGGTGATGTCTGTTAGTGTTATTTATCACAGCACTGATATTTGCTGGTAAATCATTTCGTAAAATATAAGTAATCAAGGAGTGTCTTTTAGTGATGGTTTATTTTAATATGCAAAGTCTTAATTAACACCACTTACCTATTTCAGTTCTTCTAAGGTCTTCTCTAATGAGGGTGTTTTCAAGGCCTGTTCTTTTACTTCCTTGAAGGAGCAAATGATGTGAACATCCTTCCAGGTCAAGCTGTGTGTCCTACTCCAGGGTGCCGAGGAATAGGCCACATCCGTGGTCCGCGTTACTCAGCTCATCACAGGTAAACGTTTTGCTTATTTAACTTATTTCAGGGATGAATGGAGTTTTACACAGATTAGAAGCTGCATGGAGTGTCTTAAGTGACATCTCTTCTCTTTTTTGCTAAGGCTCTTTCATAACATTTCCTGCTGCCTGCCTACTCGCGCCCCTCTAGAGTCCTGATGGACTTAGAAGGCGTTCCCCAGACCCCCTCCCGTCCCAGAGTCTCTGCTGTCTGATTGTTTTCCTGAGAAGCGCACCCTCAGATATGCTCACACCCTGCGCCCTGTCCCACACCTGACCTGCTTTCTCCTGGGGAGTCCCAGAGCCTCTTACCTTTCCCCTCTGGTTTTCACCTTGCCTCTGTTTCTTCTTCTCTCGTTCTTATTCTGTGAAAGAATAGAAAATGTTGCAGTTGTGTTGTAGAATATGTGCATGTTTTGAATCTTTGATACTATTTATAAGGAAAGTTAAATACACATAAATGTATAAGTCCTTGGTGATTTTTCCCCTTCAATTGGTAAAAAAAGAAAAAAAAAGTTTCTAGTTCAGTAGATTCTGGGCAAATATTCTTATATTTGAAAAAAGAATAAGAAGAAAAGAAGAGAAAGTCTTCTCAGTTTTGCTAAGACCTGAAAAAAACAGGTCTCCTTGATTGACTTCTGCTTTCAAAGCTTGGTGGGAAAGCGTAAGCCCGGAGAGTGGCTTCCTTAGTGCCACTCTGAGGACGGTGGCTCTTTCAGCTGCCTCTCTATAAAGTACTCCCAGGCAGTAAAGTGCCTCAAAGTAGAATGTTGTTTTTACCATTTCATGTCAGAATTTCTGATTCTGATATTGAAGCTTGGTCTTTGGAAAGGAAGTAAACAGCATTCTTAAAATAAGTTGTCAGCATCTTAATTTTCTACAGCTGACAAGGAGAATGATGACATCAAGATACCACTAAAGATATTTGAAAATACTTCATCATCTTTATGGATCTGGTGGACCACAGGTGTCCTTTTAGATGAATTTTAGACAGGTTTATTTTAGTTTGTATTAAAATAGTCAAAAGGTTAATAATAATATTCAAAGCTGTATAATTCATATAGAATTTGCATAAACTATCATTTGAAAGAAATTGCATCAGTTCTTATCTGTATGAAAATAGGACTTTTAGGTGCACAATTATCACACAAATTACATTTTATTTGAATTAATTTACACAGTGAATAAAATGAAGTAGGTGGGACCAGGCCTGGTGGCTCACGCCTATAATCCCAGCTCTCTGGGAGGCCATGGCAGGTGGATTGCCTGAGCTCATGAGACTAGAGCAAGAGCGAGACCCTGTGTCTAAAAAATAGCCGAGCATTGTGGTGGGTTCCTGTAGTCCCAGCTACTTGGGAGGCTGAGGCAAGAGGATCTCTTGAACTCAAGAGTTTGAGGTTGCTGTGAGCTATGATGTCACAGACCTCTACCAGGGGCAAGAAAGCGAGACTCTGTCTCAAAAAAAAAAAAAAAAAATGAAGTAGGTTTATTTGTTAACAGGAATATTTGAAGATGACAATACTGGGACTAGAAGATATAAACTTACTTTTTTAGGTAGGATCCAGAATTAGATATGAAATTAGTTTCTTCTAAATGAATAGAACACAGACTCTGGAGACTTGATCTACCTCTATGTCATAAAACATAGAAAGTTGCCCCAAAGGCCATCAGAGCAACAGCAAAAATTAATAAATGGGACTTGATCAAGTGAAAAAATTTCTGCACAGCTATGGACACAATCAACAAAGCAAAGAGACATTCTGTAGAGTGGGAAAAGGTATTTGCATGCTACAAAACCAACAGAGGGGTAATAACCAGAATCTACAAAGAATTCAAACAAATTAACAAAAAGACCAAATAACCCCATTAAAAATCAGACAAGAGATGTGAACAGAATGTTTTCTCAAGAGGATGGGTGAATGGCCAACAATGAAAAAATGCTCATCATCTCTAATTATCAGAGAATTGCAAATCAGAACCACTTTGAGATATCACCTGACCCCAGTGAAGTGGCCCACATCATAAAGCAACAGAGGCTGGTGTGAATGCGGAGAGAAGGGAACATTCATGTGCTGTTGGGGGGACTGCAAATTAGGACAGCCTTTTTGGAGAGAAGTATGGAGAATCTTCTAAGAACTAAAAATAAACCTTCCATTTGCTGCTGAAATCTCATTGTTAGGTATTGACCCAAAAGAAAAAATGTTACCATAAGAACACTTGTACTAGAATGTTTATAGCAGCCCATTTCATAATCACAAAGATGTGGGAATACCCCACATGCCCTTCAGCACATGAATGGATTAATAAACTGTGGTATACATATACCATGGAATACTATTCAGCCATAAAAAGATGGAGATTTTATATCTTCTGTAACAACCTGGATGGATTTGGAGAACACTCTCTAAAGTATCTCAAGAATGGAAAGGCCAGCATCACATGTACTCAATACTAACCTGAAACCAGCAGATTAAAACTACACGTTCACTTAAGAGAAAAACTCAAGTAAATTCAAGAAGTGGGGTGGGGGGAAGAGGGCTCAGCAAGTTCTCATCCAAAGGGAGAGGGGTATGTGGTATATGGCAAACGTCCTGGAAACAACTGCAACTCAGGCTTTATCTTACAAATGCAAACAATATAACCCAATCATGTACCCTCATGTTAATCTGAAACAAACAAACAAACGAAATAGACACAGTACAGTTTGGCTACACTAAGAAAAAACATAGGTGATTTATTCAGGAACTAACAATTATAGTCTTTATGTAAAGAACCAGATATTATTACAGTATGAGGGCCTCTTTCCCCACTCGTGTGTGGGATGCAGGGCACATATGCTAATGTATTGAACCTCAAACAACACAAACAGAGAAGGAGCATCTTTGCTACTCAGAAGTAGTGGGGTCAGGGAAATCTAAGATGATTTTGAAAGCTCTTCATGGAAATGTATAGCACAAATCAGCCTCTATTCAGGACTTACCTGGAATGGTTTTGTCAGCTCAAGAATAATGATGGAAATCATTTTATATGTTTTCTTCTTTTTCCATCTGTTCCCCCAGGTGTGTGAGTGTGTGGGTGGGTGTAAAGTGAGTCCCTCACTCCATGAAGGCTCAGACGGGCCGGAGTTGGAGGTGCAGGTCCACCCATCCCCATGTCATGTGGAGCAGACTGCCCCATTAGATTCTTACAGTTCAATTCCATAATGAGAGTAAAACAGTATAATTTTTTGCTCACTAAATAGTATAGTATCATGTTACTGAAAGCATAACTGCAGGAAATATAAGGAGAGACAGAATGGTAATAGGAGATTTTACTTAACCCACTGCAGACAGTGACAGAATAAATAGTGAAAACAGAAATAAGAATATACAGACTCCGAATAACATGATCTAAGAAAGGGAAGAAGATTGACAGAAAGACAACACATCCAGATGAAAACAGAATAAATCTGCTTTAAAGCACTTTTCAGAACTCAACAATTAGGCCCCAAGCAACTCAATACATTCTCAGAACCAAGAATCAGACATTTTTGCAACAAAACAAGAAATTGTTGAGAATAAAATTAGTCACCTAGAACATACGCAAAAACATTCATAGCTATAACTTCAGTGATCATTTGAATCAGAGGAGAACCCAAACCTGAATCTCAGAAAATCTACATTCAGTGTAATGGGAACACCAAAGAGATAAATCTTTGGAATATCAGATGTAAATCTGCACCTTATTCAACAAGAAAGTATGAAAATAAACTAATTAGACATTCAGTTCAAAAAGTCATAAAGCTAAAGAAGAATAATTACATAAAAGGAATAAATATCAAACTAAATAAGGAGATTAATGAAGTGGGGCATAAATAGTAAGTTAAGAGTATCCAAGTGTTGACTTTTCAAAACAAAACAGTAACTCTGCAACAATAGGTACCAGTATGGTTAAGCAGCTATTTTGGACTGTCCATGCATCGTTCTGGGAATCTGGACTCCTCTTATGGAAGGAACTCAAGACATAGGTCTTGGGTTTTTTATTTGGTTGCTCTGAATTTACATGGAGTGGGTTGTTATACATCAATGGCCTTCCTTTTAACTGAGTCACATGGAAACCCTTTGGGCTCCTGCTCTCTTAGGCACCTGTCTCTCACCATCCCTAGAAGTAGCCTTTCCTCTTTCAAGGAAATCATTTCCTTAGCCATCCTCCCGCCTCTTGGGTTGGTTTTTAAGGACCACCCCCTGGTTGCATCACAGTACAACCTTGGAGCTCCAACCCCTCCATGTGGCTTTTGCCTCAGCTGCAGCCAGACACATCAGTGGTCTATTAATCTCTGCTCCCCACCCTCTTCTAGCCCCCTGTCCTTTCTCTGGCTGGACTGGTTTCTCTCTAGACTTATCTATTATATAGCTGTCATCCTGCATCTACCGTGGGGTTCCTTCACCCCCACTTCTGTTAGAGCTTCTATAAGGTTATTTCCTGGATTCTGAGACTTTTTTCCCTTTGGTTATTTTCTTTTCCTGGGTTTTTGAGATAGGGCTTGTGGGAGATAGTTTTTTTGGCATATAAAATATTTTTTTGTCTCCTCAGCCATAATAGTTTGGTGGTGGGTAGCATTCAAGTTGAAAACCCTTTTCCTCAGAATATTGAGGGCATTGTCCAGTTTTGGTCGCCTTTTCACTGTTTCCAAGTGCACTGTCATTCAGATTACAGTATCCACCCAAAGGGTTGTCTCCCCCATTGCGTTACTGCCCCCACTTTCCTGCCCTCCACAAGAATTACAACCCATGGAAATTTTTAGGACTTTCTTTTATCTCTGATGTTCTAAAATGGGCCTTTTTTAACTTAGTGTTTCAATCTGGAAACTCACAGCTTTTCCTTCTGGGAAGTAGTCTCTTACTATTTCTTTATTAATACTCTGGTTTCTGTTTGCTTTCCTGGAATGATACTCAGAAATTTTTTCACCTAGATTTAAAAACTTCATGTCTTTTGTTCTGCTTTAGAAATTTTTCTTTA